CATGTCACCAACTGAAATTCTGCTCCTCTACACAACAGGGACATATTGCAGTCTCCTATGCACACCCATCTGTGAGTATGTCCCACTGAACCCATATGGGGCTTACTTCTATTTATAGGATTGTGCAGTTACACATTAAAATTGTGTGTCCGTGTCCATTCATCAACCTTTGTTACTGACTCAAAAATGACAAATATATGTGCTGTTATTATTCTGTACCTAGATATTATTCTTGAACACACACACACACACACACACACACACACACACAGCAGGTGGTGAAACTGTGAGTCCCCAGTTGTTGTTGGGCTACAGTTTATATCACCCCTGATCTTTCATTATGTTGACTGGAGCTGATGGGAGTTTGAGTCTGACAACGTCTGGAGAGCAGCAAGTTCCCTACTCTGATTAGAAATACACCAAAATAGAACTATGTTAAAACACAGTTGTAACAAATGGTGCCAGCAATATATATATATATATAAACAGACAGCAGCATGAAGCTAAAGGTTAGCAACAATAGTTTTGAAACAGTATAGGGCAGTCCAATGCAAAAGAGGACAGAGCTCCTGAACTTTTAATAATTGTGTAGAAAAGGGACCCTGAGCAGTATTGGGAGTGCATAGGTCAAGGAGGGAGTTTGCACTATGTGGGAAGCCTCCACTAGTTCGTTCCTAGTACAAATAGCAGCTTCAGAGGTAGGTTAGGATGGCAATTTGTTGGTACCATGGCAAATGGAAAGGGCTAAACTTTTCTACCTCACCCTCTGTTGTCCTGATGCTGTAGCCTAGCCTGACAACATTTCAAATGAACCTTATGAGCGGGGGGGGGGGGTTTAAGAAACAATAAAATACAGAATTGGACAGAAGCAATATTTTTTGTTTCTTAAACCCCCCTATAAGGTTCATTTGAAATGTTGTCAGGCTAGGCTATTTTAGTTTTAAAATTATATTGCCATCAGAGGTGGAAGCACACTCAACATTGTGGGATCAGAGCCCTGCAGTAGTTAATAACAAACCCCAGTGATCAGCAGCTGGTCTCTTATTAAGTGTTATACATAGAATGGACTGTGGCAGAAATATAAGCCACAGGCTTGAGTGAACTTGCAGAGAGAAGGTGGAAAATGAGACAAAAATGATTCATGCTGGCAGGAGCTATTTACCAGCATTTCTGATTCCAAGCTAATAATAAACTACTTAGGCATACTATCCAAAACCTCTGCTTTAGGTCTGGTGGCTCATGGAAGAGCTATGTGCTGAGATAAGATGGCGCCCGGCACACTTCCCCTGTGCCGATGGACGCCTGTGCCGATAGAAAAAACTTGAGCTCTTAGCAGAGTTCTTAGCAGAGTTCTTAGCAGAGTTCTGCAGCGGTAGAAAGTGTTGCCTTGTGTGTGGATAATAAATCAGACTGAACGCAGGCTTCTTGCTAATCTCTAACAGCCTTTAATGAGAAGAAAAACATCATAAATCAGCCAGGCGAGAGAGCGGACATTCTTTCGTCTCTCAGCCAAAAACAAAAGGAAACACACACACAAAGAAAGATTCCCGTATGTGAACACAACCACGCCTCAGAATGTGAGACATCACACAGAACTGTTTAACCCTGTAAGTTCTGATTCTCCTCACACCCCCTCTCGTCTCGTATCCTGAGGGAAACTGTGAGTATAACTCACCCCAAACACAACCCTTCACAGAACTCCGCATGTCGCTGGAAGGTCAAGGGTTTGGTAAACCCATCAGCTAGGTTCTCCCGGCTCGAACAATACTTGAGCCGTATCCAACCTGCTTGGACACTCTGACATACATTCTGGAAACGTATGTCCAAATGCTTGGTTCTGGACTTGAACTGTCCAGATTCTGCCAACCTAAGACAAGGTTGATTGTCTCCCCAAACAGTTATGGGCAAGTAACAATCCCCACAGATCTCTTGGATCAAGCGCCGGTGGAAGTCCAACTCCCTGCACAAATCCGACAACGCACTGAACTCAGCCTCAGTGGAGGAAAGTGCAATAAGACTTTGCTTCCGGGACTTCCACCCAACCAGGGATTCCCCGAACTTTACCACCAGCCCAGACACAGACTTCCTGTCCCCAAGAGATGCCCAATCGCTGTCACTCCAGCACGTAAGCCGTGCGTCACCTTCAGCTGACAACATGAGGCAAAACTCTTTGGTATCCTGCAAATACCTCAACACCCTCTTGATGCCTTACCATGCATTCACACTGGGCTTTGTAGCCTCCCTGCTGAGCAGATTCACAGCAAACGCTATGTCTGGTCTGCTCCACTGAGAGAGATACAACAGACTCCCTAGCGCTGACTGAAACACCTCAGGGTTTTGGAACTCAGAATGCTCCCCAAGCTGACTGTCCTTCACGAAGTTGGTCTCCATGGGCGTTCTGACCCCTGCACAGTCAGACATCCGGAACCTCTCAAGCAACTGCTCAATCTTGCCTTTCTGACTGAGCAAGAAACTCCCGTTCTCAGACCTGTCTATCCTAACGCCTAGATAAACCTGAACGGGACCAAGGTTTTTGAGCTTAAACTTCTTACCAAGCTCTTTGGCAAAACCTTGCACCTGTTTACCTGTCTGTGCCATGTACAGAATATCATCTACGAACACCAGAATCGCTTCCTGTGTCTCTCCTGACCCCTTCAGGTACAGGCAACTGTCTGCAAGACTCTTCTGGAAACCCAAACTTTCCAGAGCTTCATTCAGGCACACGTTCCAATTTCTGGCTGACTGTTTCAAACCATGAATTGACTTGTGCAGCTTCCACACAACACTTGGCTCATTGCCCTCAAACCCTGGAGGAGGTAACATGTACAGATACTCCTTCAGATCCGAGTTCAAATAAGCCACATCCACATCAAAGTGGTGCACTTGGTGCCCTCTTTGAGCAGCTACTGCTAAAAGCACGCGCAGAGTCTCACTCCGGGAAGTAGGAGCATACACTTCAGTGTAATGCAGCCCCCTTCTCTGTGTGAACCCTCTGGCTACAAGCCTCACCTTGTACTGTGGTTCTCCAGACGCTGTGGGCTTAATCCTGTAAACCCAACGACAGCTCACAGCCTGCTTGCCCTCTGGCAGCTTCGTGGTGGAGAACACACCTAAGGACCTCATTGAGTTCAACTCCTTTCCCATTGCCTCTTGCCACTTCCTGGCTTCCGCTTCAGGCAACTGTTGAACCTCCTCAAAACTCTCTAGTTCGCACTGCGCTAAACCAACCCACACGCTGGTGACCTCAAACCTCTCAGGTGGTACCCCCTTTGTAGCGCGTGTGGAATGCCTGAGCACTGTCTCAGGTGCTCCCTCTGACCCACTGGGGCCAGCTAGTGTGTCCTTGTTATTAGAAGACTCCCCCCTCTGACTTACTGCGTCTTCTGGCCTTCTGCACTTGACTAACGGGAGACGAAGGCTCACTTTTGGGCTCTCGTTTAACAACCTGTGGAGATGCCCCTCCCTGTTCTTGACCCTGGTCAGAGACGTGGTCCTCATCAACAGGTTCAGCTTCTAACTCTCCCTCCTCAGCAGAATCAGACAGACACTCTGAGAGAATGTCAGGATTCGCATGGATCCTTGACCAACCACTCTGCTCACAGAACTCAGCACTCCTGCTGACTAGAATCCTGGACTGATCGCCTTCTGGATAGGCAAACCTCCACCCTTTTGTCCCAGGCTCGTACCCACAAAAGATCATTTTCCGGGACCTCGGGTCACCTTTCTTGCATTGAGCCTTTGGCACAAGCACCCAAGCTTCGCAACCAAACACACGGAAGAAATGCACCTTGGGCTTCTTCCGGTGCAGCAGGAAATAGGGTGTGTCTCCTACAACAGAGCTATAGGACCTGTTCAAAGTGAAGCTGGCAGCTTTCCAAGCTTCGGCCCAAAAGCTCTGAGGCAAACCAGAGTCAAACAGTAGAGCGTCAGCTGCCTCAGCTAGCGTTCTGTTCCTGCGCTCCGCTACGCCATTCTCCTGAGGAGAAAAAGCAACCGTCAACCTGTGACTTATCCCCTTCTGGCGGAAGAAACTCTGCAGAGCAGACCTGGTGAACTCTCTGCCTCGGTCACTCTGAAAGCTCTGCACCTTGGTGGAAAACTGTAGTTCCACTGCTGCAACCCAGTCTTTGATCAGTTGCGCCGCCTCGCTTTTCTGTTTCAGCGAGAAGATCCAGCCGTTCCTCGAAAAATCATCTGTCAGCGTGAGCGCACACCTGGCTCTGCCCAGACTCGGCACTGGCATTGGTCCACAAAGGTCTGTATGCACAAGCTCAAAAGGCCTTGTGGTTACCCTCTCCGATCTGAGATAACTGCACCTTTTTATCTTTGCTCTTTTGCATGCCCTACAATCCAAAAATTTATCATATGCTTTCATCTTGCAACCCTCAGTGCATTCTGGCAACTTCTGGATATATTTCCAACAGCTATGCGACATTCTCCTGTGCCACAAGTGAGCACACAAATCATGTGTGGGAACGTTAGCACACCGCGCCTGTGCTGTCTCAGCATTCCCCTTACCCTCCAGAGGTGTCTCCAGAACAAAGAGGTTGTTCTGACATGCAACATTGACCAGTTGTTTCCCACCCCTGAAAATAGAACAGACATCATTTTCAAAGCAAACCTTATAACCCTCCTTTACAAGAGGAGATACAGATAAAAGACAACGTTCCTGGCACAACGTAGACTTCCAGCTCTGCCTGTAAAAAAGAAACAAACACATTGCCAACAGTGGTTAATTGTCTCTGTGAGCCATCAGCAAGAGTGACTGTTTTCCCAGTTGAAACAGCCCTGCAGTTCCACATTTCACCACCAGATAGCAACATCAGGTGATGGCTGGCTCCTGAGTCGATGACCCAACGCAGCATGCTGCCCTCACTGGAGTTGTCCTTCAGCGTTGCCATGGAGGCAGCTAGGTGATAAGAAGAACCGTCCTTCTCACTTCCTCTGTCACGTCCTCCCTTTGCATTCCCACGCTGGCCTCCTCTCCTAGACTGGCTGCCATGGAAACCTGGCTGGCTGCCACAAGGACTTGGCGGACTGCCATGGGAAGCGACCTTGGAGACATCCTGCCCGGCCTCTCTGGCTCTCCTCGGACAGGACCGACGCAGATGGTCAACAGACCCGCAGACAAAACAACGACGAGTGGAAAAAGCCTGAACTGTGCCTTCTGGCTTGGCCCCCCCTCTGCTACCGGCAGGACATCCTGCGCCAGCTCGGTCCTCTCTGAGACGGCGTTCCTCCTCGTCACACAAACGCCCAGTCACATACTGCAGCGTAAGATCCGCTGGATTCATCGATTCCAAAGTTAGACACAAATTGTCATAACTTTTGTCCAAAGAGCTGAGCAAAATATAAACTTTCAGTTCCTCAGTAAAGGTGACTTGCAACAGTCTCAGCTTGTTGAAAACAGAGAGCATCTTAGTCACATGCTGTCTGATGCTATCACCAGGACGCAGCTTCAGCTCAAACAAGCTTCTGGTGGTGTGGATCTTTGCCCCAGCTGTGGTCCTGTGATGCACTCTCTCTAGTGCCTGGTAGGCCTCCTGGGCAGTCTCAAGACCCTCCACCAAAGGTAGCTGTGAGCCCTCCAAACTGAGCACTATAGCTCCTAGGGCTTTCTGGTCTTTCCTCTGTGAGGCTTGGGCAGCTGCAACAACCGCTGCTGCAGCTCCGGCTGCAGCTTGCTGTGGGGGCCCTTGGGTCGCCTCCTACAGACCCTTGGCTACCAGCCAGGCCTTCAGCTTCCTTGACCACTCCTCCCAGTTGCTCCCATTTAATTTTTCAAAGGGGACTGAGAATGACTCCTGTCCATCTGCCATCTTCTCCCCCGGGGCTGAGCCTACTCATGTCACCAGCAGCTCCTCTTGGCACCCGGTCCTGAAGATGAGATCCTCCCCAGCAAGCTTCCCTGTCTCAAATGTTAGGCAGGAGCTCCAGCTGGCTTCTCCCACACACACAGGCACGACGTGGCAACAGCTTCCAAAGCTTGGCTAGCTCCCATAACCTGCTGAGATAAGATGGCGCCCGGCACACTTCCCCTGTGCCGATGGACGCCTGTGCCGATAGAAAAAACTTGAGCTCTTAGCAGAGTTCTTAGCAGAGTTCTGCAGCGGTAGCAAGTGTTGCCTTGTGTGTGGATAATAAATCAGACTGAACGCAGGCTTCTTGCTAATCTCCAACAGCCTTTAATGAGAAGAAAAACATCATAAATCAGCCAGGCGAGAGAGCGGACATTCTTTCGTCTCTCAGCCAAAAACGAAAGGAAACACACACACAAAGAAAGATTCCCGTATGTGAACATAACCATGCCTCAGAATGTGAGACGTCACACAGAACTGTTTAACCCTGTAAGTTCTGATTCTCCTCACACTATGTACTACTGCAACACAGAGATGGGTGGTGTAAGGCTACTAGGACACAGAATGCGAGTCTGCCCCAATGATCATTTTTAAAGCTGTACAAATAAGTTGTACACATATTTGGGCAAGGCACAAAGCTACTAGGTGCCCCCTTTATTGCTATGTGGTTTTTGAAAGGTCTTATGTGTTGTAATTTAGAAAAATGGAAAAAAATTGCACCAGCTGCTTTGTAGTTGGTACTGATAAGAGTTGGAGTCCCACCAGGACCTTCAACCACTCTGTTTGTGATAGATTTCTAGACCCTCATTGACCTATAATTTATGGTCAAATAATGTTGAATGGAATGTCCACCAAATGAGCAATTACATAATGACTTTTTGAATCTTCCTGCCTCATACATACAGAAAATTGAACTGAAATCTTGCATAATGCCCCCTTACAACAACATTGGCAGACTGCCAACCAAAGCTGCATACAGTGGCTTATATACCAAACTGTTGGCATTTTAGGATGAGATTCAATCACATATCAGTAAATTCAGGTTGTGCAATTATAGCTGATTGGGAGGTCTTACACAACAAACTCCACTTCCCAAAAAGTTAGTCCTTTTTGCAATAAGGAAACTGATGGGGAGATATACAGGAAAATGTGGGATAACACTTGCTTTGACACAACCTCTTCTAATGAATGTGCAATAAACAATGGAACTGGAAGCAAACTTTGTAAAAATCCTGGATAGAAGGCTGCCTGGGCTCATGTATAAGTCATTCTTAGGAAGAGTGAGAAAGAAATGTTATCAGTCAATAGGCATGCCATATGTCAGGAAAATTCCTGACACATCCCAGTTTTCGGGTGTAAAAATGACATCGGGGGAATTTTGCCGAATTGGCAAAATGTCACAGAAAACCCAGATGTATGGCAGCACAATGCAAAAAACAGCAGAAACAGCTCAAAAAGCTTAAAATCACTACTCAACAATTTGGTGGGTCTTCCTCGAAAATGCTTAACCCACAGTGTCAGGAATTTTACTTTTTGAAATATGGCAACCCAATATCAGTCAATCAACAATCCATCAGTCAGTCAGATAATATAAGAGGCAGATGTGAAGAGACCCCATTCCATCCCTACATGTGTCAGAGCACTGCCAGGTCTAAACTGCAACAGGATGGGTTGTTCCCTCATGGTAGGCCTTGAACCCTTACATTAGATCTTAAGTGGCAATTGGAAAGGACACAATGTTCATCTAGTCCAACCTGCTGCAGTGCGGAAATCTCAACTAAAGCATGCACGACAGATGGCCATCCAACCTCTGCTGAAAAACCTCCAATATGTAGGAACAATATTTGAATGGATTATTTAAAAAAAGAAAGGTGCCGAAGATTTTGCAAAGTTAATCAAATGAGTCAGTCTGTTTGTTTTTTAAAAAACCATGCACACACAACCCAAGGATCTATATTTCCATCCATGAAAGTCAATGGCCCATTTCCAAATTATTTCTCTGAAGCTGATTTGGCCCTTCAGCATTACTCAGTTGCCTGTCTGCCTTTAATGGAAAAAATAGCCTCCTGTTGCTAGATCCAGAAGCTGATTTCCCTTAATCTGTCTGTTTTTGTGGGGTCGTGCTGACTGCATGGTAATAGCCAATCTTCAGCCTTCACATCTGGCTGTGGCTGGTGTAGAAAACTAATGACTCCAAGCAGTAAAACTTGTCTGAGTTTCAAAACAGGTTTGTCATGGGGAGCTGATGTTTGGAAAACAAGAGCTCCTATGCCACCTCCTGAACACTGGAACTAATTGTGTGGTTCTTTGGTTTATTGTGGCTTTATTCTTCTATGCTTTTGGACAGTAAAGGTGATTTCTTTGTGGTAAAAAAGGGTACTTTTAAATGCCCTGTAGGAATCCTATTATTCACAATCAGCCCTTGCCAGAGTTCATTCCTTGTCTGTTAGCTGAGTTCTACCCCTGAAATATAGTGTGTGTTCGGGGTGGCAGTTTAACATTCGTATATTGCTTTCAAAGGAGAAATGACTCCTGTGGAAGCACTTTTTACCAAAACGATGACACATTCCATGCTAGCAGTTGTTTGCCAATGCTGCTTCTGCAGTGGTGACGTGTCCTGAGCTTAGTCAAAAGTAAATTTGTCTAAATATATGCTATGACACCCAAATACATGGCATTTGAAAATTAGCTAATTACCCATGCTTTAGGGTATGAACCCATACAAAGCGGGTGGGGAAACTGAGGGAAAGGCAGAATATTACAACACGTTCCTCAAACTATAAATGAAAATATTTGCCATAGAAGGTGGCTCTGGCCCTTCAAAGATTATCAGTCACAGCCGGGGTTGCCAGTAGCCAGGGCTAGTGGGAGATGTCAGAGACAAACTGAGTCACCTCTGATTTACTTTCATACATTTTTCACTGCCCAATCCTATATAATCTATGCTTAGAGGGCCTAGTGTGAACTCCTCAATTGTTGCTAAGTAACAGCAGAGTTTGTGCCCCCCCTTTTTTGCACAGCAGCAACCAACAGCAACCAACAGCAAACAGAACAGGATAATGAACTGTTTCAATGATATTTTTTCATCAGCTGGCAGTAGTATAAAGGAATAAAAATGAAATACATTACATTAGATACAGTACAATAATTGAAAGGATATTCACTACCAAATTATGATACATTCATTATTACATTACCAAGTTAATATTCCCCAAAGGTACATAAAGTGATCGTGGATCAATTCTCACTCAAAAGTGTAGTAGGCTGATACTGTTAACAGAACCCTGGTAGTATCATAAAGGCTACCAGCGGGTGAAATGAATAAGGTAAAACCACAAGGAATTTTAAAGGTACAAATCCAGAACATACAAACAGCAGCCATCTTCCCAAGAAGCTTAAACAAAATGAAGGCTATCCACAGGTAATATAATTGTACAATATCCAGAGAATACAAACAACAGCCATCTTACCAGAAATAATATTGAACAATTTTTAAACAAAACAGTTATACTCTAGTTCGGTATTCAAATGCCCAGGGTGCAGTGATTTAAACAGGTAAATTAATCTGGTTTCTTGTTGGTGAAATAATTTGATATAGTTTCTCCTCCTCCCAGGTGCTCCCAGACTCACCCATAGGACTGTGTAGAGAAGATCTGTGTCCGAGTGATGATGTTTTACAAAGTGCTCAACCAAAGGAGCCTCCATAACTCGATTCCTAATATGGGATCGATGCTCCCCTATACAGTGGTACCTCTGGATGCGAACGGGATCCGTTCCGGAGCCCTGTTCGCATCCTCAGTAGTACGTAAGATGCGACTGTGCGTGTTACCACTTCTGCGCATGCGCGTGATGTCATTTTGAGCGTTTGCGCATGCACGAGTGGCGAAACCCGGAAGTAACGCGCTCCGTTACTTCCGGGTTGCCATGGAGCATAACCTGAAAACACTCAACTGAAGCACATTTATCCCGAGGTATGACTGTACAGCCCATGTGGTGGATCCAATGTAAAATAAATTACAAGGGCATCTTATTAAGTACACCACATCTTTGGTCTGACATTACTAAAATTACGGATGGTGAATCTGAAGTTAGAATGCGCATCATAGATCTCTTTCATCTGTAACATGAAAGGACAGGAAACACATCTGCTTACAGCACCACCCAGCTCCAGCTCATTCTCAACCAAACTTTGATATAGATATGAACTGTGGAAAGGCTTTCTGCCTCAACTTCAGTGTTTCTTTGTGGTTATACACCATTCTAAGCGTTCCTGTTGATGGAATATTTATTTGACTTCTATTAGTTCGTGACTTCTTGCACATATTATATGGCTTTTGTTTATGAATTAAGAAGCAATTGATAGTGTTTCATAAATATTGCCAATACAGTGGTACCTTGAGTTACAAACACCTTGGGTTACAAACACTTTGGGTTACAGACTTCGCTAACCT